TTTTCCGTAAATCGGAATGAGTTGAAATTTAGAGCGTGTGTACATATTATTGAGGCACAGCCGATAAAAATATGAAAGAAGTATTTCGTAAAATATAAATTGACTAAAATACGCCCATAAATTTTTAGGGGTATTTTGATCAATTTATATTTTACGAATTATTAGTTTTATATTTTTATTAGACTATCCTATTTTTGATGAATACACGCTTAAAATTTCAGATCCTTCTTATTTGTAGAAGCCAAATGAAAATTGAAACACTACCAGACAACCGTGACCGTGCGATGAATTTTGGACGGTACTGAGGATAGGCGAAATCACTGTTTATTTTCGCCTATACGTGTTGCGTAGTATTTTCCATATATATATATATATATATATAACAAAACGTCTATAGGTGAAGTTCTACAGTACTTCACTTACAATTTTATCACTGTTCAAAATTTATCACACGGTCACAGATATCTGATAGTATTTAAATTTTAATATTACTTTTACAAATCATAATGATCTTCAATTAAAACTTTGTTATGTCAAACCTTCGTCATGTGAAAACATGGTTATTCCAATATTACTTATTTGGATAGCTTTGAATGCTACCCATGTCATGCAAAACTCCTGATTGGATCTTATTTTTGTGTAACCTGGTTTGCTTGGGGGTCGTTTGATATACCTGAAAGTTTGACAAGAAATATATACATGAAAATAATTTACATATGTAGACATCTTACACAAAAAGATTACTTAAGCATGTTTTTTATCATATTTAGCAAACACAATTGGAATCAGGCACACATAGTGAGAACACATCAAACTTGAAATTTCTCTCACTAAAAGTTAACATTTGTTATAGCTTCTCTCTCTGATAATTTTGAGACAGTCACTCTCTAAAAATTTGAAATTTTAGATAGTTAACAATATCCCTTTCTAAAAATTTTGAGATAGTTTCCGTCTGTAAAATTTTTTTATATAATCTCTCTCTAAAAATTGAGATAATTTCTTTCTCTAAAAATTTAAGATAGTTTTCTCTCTAAAATTTTTGATAATTTCTCTCTAAAAATTGATATAGTTTATCTCTCTAAAAAGTTTGAGAAAGTTTCTCTCTAAAAACATTTGGGTTGTTTCTCTCTAAATTAGTTTATCTCTCTAAAAACTTTGAGCCAGTTTCTCTCTAAAAAATGATATAGTTTATCTCTCCGAAGTTTTAAGATACCCTCTCTCAAACTTAAAATTTGAGATAACTCCTCTCTAAAAATTTTATGATAGTTTCTCTAGAATTTTGAGGTATTTTATGTCTCTAAAATTTGATATAATTTCACTCTCTAAAATTTTAAGATACTCTTTATCTTTAAAACTGAAATTTGAGATAGGTTCTCTTTCTAAAAAATTTCATGTAGTTTCTCTCTCTAAAATTTCAGAATATTTTTTCTCTCTAAAACTTGAAATTTAAGATAATTTATCTCTAAAATTTTTTAAATAGTTTTTCTCTTTAAAATTTGATATAATTTCTATCTTTAATATTTTAAGATACTTTTTCTGTCAAAAATTTAAATATTGATATAGTTTATCTCTATAAAATTTTGAGATAGTTTCTCTATAATTCTTTTTAAGTAATTTCTCTCTCTAAAATTTGTTATAGTTCTCTCTCTATATTGTTGAACTTGAAATTTGATATAGTTTCTCTCTAAATTTTTTGAGATAGTTTCTCTCTCTAAAAAATTTCATTAGTTTCTCTCTAAGATTTTAAGATACTTTTTCCCTCTAAAAACTAAAAGTTGAGGTAATTTTTCTCTCTAATTTTTGGGGATGTTTTATTTTATATTTAATAAAATGGGCAGCTCCGGTGTGTAAAAATAATATATTATATTATATTATCTCTCATGCTTATCAACTTTGTTTTTCTTGATTTTGTGTATCCATGTTCTGACCCTCTCTCTTGCTTAAAAAAAAACATACGCACTCAAAAAAGTTGCCAAACATATTTTTGTGCAAAATATCCTAGGCTCAAAACAACCCACAATGCGAGACCCAAAAAGACGTAACACAAAAGGGGACCCAGAGAATCTGCATTTTAATTTTCATGAAAAATTAAAACTAAAAAACTAATCCTAAAACTTGGGCCTATGTGAGAATCTGCATGTTTTCCAATTTCCTTGTTTTAAATAAGCAGTTTCAAAATAATAAAATTTCTTAAATAAGAAAATATAAATAACTGACAAACGAAAAGATAAATGAACAAATAAAATTTATCTTTGGCCTCTATTAGTTGGTACCACTCTTATATATTTGGTTGATCCAAATCTCACTTGTGCCCCGGTTAAAGTCGAGGCTTCCATTCTAACATGTTAGAAAACCCCAACAATTTCAAAAAACAGGTAGGAGCTCGTCATCCCCCTGAATTACCAAAAAAATTAAAAATCCAAATCTTCATGAACGGTTAGGATTTCTGTTGGACTTCTATCTAATACCAATGACACCCACCAGTTCTAACCTTTCTCAAACAGAATGCAAAGCATCGTAAATCATGCTTCCTCAAGCGCATAGTTTGCTTTTAGTCCTTCGGTCAATGACCTACTTGAGAGGAATTTTTTCTCAAAGAAAAGTTGAAATTTTAATATTCTGACGCTTGGATCGCACCCTCTACAAAAATTTTGTTCAATTCAAGTACTTGAAGGGTGAAATTAAAAAATCTTTTTTTTAACGAGGTTAATCTATACGTTAAAGAGATTATATCCCAAAAAATCCTACGTGGGATTTTACCCAAGGGAATAAATAGACATTATTTACCCGAGGGAGTAAATGGCCAGCATTTACCTGAGGGAGTAAATGGACCGTCTCAACAACGACAAATGACAACATGATCAGAACATGAGAGAAGTAAAATTGCAGTCACCAAATAAATATTTACTAATTTAGCCTCGGGCTCATGGTAAATGCATGCAAGAGCTGAACAAAATTGAACTAATCCATGAATGGATTAGAATCCATAATATAAATAACAAAAAAAACAGACAAATTAGTTGATTGCTAGAAAGATTAATCATTTTGCTTGTCTGCTTTCTTCTTCCTCTCCTTCAGGAGCTCAATATCTGCTCGCTTCCGTGCTTTGCCAATCTAAAAACAAAAGAAAATATGAAATTAATGGCGCACAATCAGATGGCAAAATTACATCTACCATCCCACCCCTCTCTCTCTCTCTCTCTCTCTCTCTCTCTCTCTCTCTACTCGTACTACGTACGTACGTACGTACGTACGTACGTACGTACGTAACGTAACTAACGTAACTAACGTAAACGTAACGTAAACGTAAACGTA